AACCCCAATCCTAAGCCCTAAACCCCTTACTTCAATCCTAAACCCAAAGAACCCCGCCCCGGTAATCAACTGGTTTCCATCCGCCTGCAGGAGTCGGAGGAGGAGGAGATGTCTGAGGCGTTTAGGGTTCAGGGTTTAGGGTTTCGGGTTCAGGGTTTAGGGTTTAGGGTTTAGGGTTTAGGGTTTAGGGCAGCGTTTAGAGTTGACAGGGTTCAGAGTTTTTTTTTTTTAAAGGGTTTACGGTCTACTATAGAAGCTTAACTTAATAGTTACCTGCAGTCTTCCTTAGGTTCCTTATTACTATAATTCTACTACCAAGAGGCCAAAACCCAATTCTAACTATTAAGACCCCTACAGTAGGGTTCTAGCGATTTGGGTTTCTGGGGTGTAGGCTTCCGACGGCCAGAGGATGTAGGACTCCGTAGGGTTTAGGGTTTGGGGCTTCAGGGTTGCCAAGGGGCTAAAGGAGGGACCCTTAAAGGGACCCTTGGGGTTATATAGGGGCTTTATGAGACCATATCAAGGGTATACGGTATATAAGGGTTATATAGGGTATTAGGATTAGGGGTCCCTTCTAGGGGTCCCTCCGATTGTCCCTTAAGGTTTAGGGTTTAGGTTTCAGAGTTTAAGGTTAAACCCTAAACCCTAAACCATAAACTTTCAGGCTTTATGGCTTTATTTGGTCCACCCCTAAATGCTTCTAAACCCTACCCCCTCGACCCTAAGCCTGCTTGTGGGAGCCTAAGTACCCACAGGCCCCATAGTAGCTCCTTTTTGGGGTTCATATTTAGAATCCTATAAGGTAACCCCAAAAAGGAACTACTATGGGGGCTATGACTATGAGTAGCAACTACTATTACAGAGACTATGAGGCCTCTATCCCTTAGCATAAAAAAACCAGCCCAAAAGCCTTACATAATCAAATAGTAGGGTCTTTGGGCCCAAGAGCCTAAAAATATGTGCCCTTTGAGGGTAAGGGTTCAGGGTGTAGGGTTTACGGGTCCGTGTCCAGGGCAATAGAGTTTGGGATTTCTAGTTCGGGGCGGAGGGTCTAGGGTTGATTCAGGGTGCACGGTCCCATGGCCTTGCAGACCTAAACCTTAAACCCTAAACTCTGAATCCTAAACCCTCAACCTTAAACTTTAAACCCTAAGTCCTAAGCCCTATAAGTTTCAAACCTTAAAAATTGAACCCTAAACCCTAAACCCTAAACCCTACTCCTACCTGTAAATCGGTGAACCAAGAAGCAGGAACTACAACGGAGACTAGAAGCAGATGCTCGGGTGTCAGGATTTGTGGGTTGTTTTGTTGCGGTCGTTGGGATTCTGGGGTTACCGTAGCAGAGTTCACCAAAACCCGAAACCTTAAACCTCAAACCTTAAACTCTAACTCCTAAACCCTAAACCTGAAACCCTAAATCCCAAACCCTATAAATCTTAAACCTTAAACCCTAAACTCTAAATCCTAAACCCTAAATCTTAAACCTCAAACCCCAGGCCATCAGACTCTTAGGGTGCAGGCTTTAAGACTGCAAGGCTTTGGGCCTTGGGGGCATCAGGTTTGTTTGGGTTCAAGGTCTACGCGTTCAGGATTTAGGGTTTGGGGTTTAGGGGTTTGGGGTTTAGGGTTTTTCGGGTTCAAGATTTAGGTTTTGGGGTCTAGGGTTTGGATATCAAGGTTGGGTTCAAGGTTTACGGGTTGGTGTGCAGGATTGAGCATGTATGGCTCAGGGTTTATGGGAGACCCTGCACAAGTAGCCCCTCGTGATGCCAAAACATTGCGGCGGGCGAAACGAACCGTACCTTTGTTGCAGAAGCCAAAGGACAGGCACACCAAAGGAAGCAGCTTTCAGTCCCTCGCCGATGAAGGGCCTTTGCCCTGCTTTCCCGTGCCTGTTGCTGAACCGTTACGTAGTCTATATTCTAACATAAGCCTTTTCAGATGGTGGACTGTACGGGCTTTGAGCACCACCATTGGACACCGATGGTACGGCTGGTTTCGTAATCAGGGCAAGGTATAGGCTGACCAACCGATGTACGACAGCAGCGTTCTGCATTCAAGCTTCGCAGTTTACCAACAGACTGTCCGCAGCCAACAGCACGTAATCACAGACAGCGCCAATCGTCAACCAGACAAGCTAACGCCTTGAAACCTAGATTCCAGTCAGTCATGGTTCTCGGCAAGTTTGCTACAAGGAACCATCGAAGGCACACGCAGCCCAGATACGCATGCATTGATCAAATTCGAGCTGCCTGGAGACGATGGATCGGGACAGCCGTCTGTTGTAGCAGTGGGCGTCGTGTCCACTACTACAAGGCCTGCGATTTAAACAGTCTACATCGCAAGACGAGTCAACGCATGTGCCACAGATTCCACCTAGCCTCTCGATCGTGAAGCTCAAAGCACAGAATGTGCGCATGCTTCGGTTGCCCTCTTTGCTCTTCGGAAGATGCTGCTGGGGGAACCATTGGTAAAACTAGGTGCATGTGTAATTAGCAAGATTGGCGGTGCTGAAAGTATGAAGCACCATCAAAACGGAACAATCCGATCAGCTTTTTAAAGTAACAGCTGCAACCATCATGACCACGCGCACCGTCCCACCACCGAGGCGTCACCTGCCTTTTCGCTTGCAGCTCATGGCGACCGTTCAAACATGTCGCGGGTGCCGGCGCCTCCACAGATGCGCAAGGCCTTTTCGGCTGGGAGGCGAAGGAGTCTGGATGCCTTGAGCTTGCATGATGGACAAGGGCTGCAACCCTAATAAGACCTAAGCCCCGAAGAAGGTTGTGTTAATCCTGTATGAATTATGTAAACCTTTAGCCCCAAAAGCCCTAAACCGAACCCGGGCACCTCCTGCCTAAATTTAAGCAAAAAAAGATTAAATTTAGGTAGCTCCTGCCTAAATTTAAGCAAAAAAACGCTTAGATTTAGGCAGCTTCTGCCTAAAATTACGCAAAAAATGGCTTAAGTTTAGGGAGATCTTGCTTAAATTCAAGTAAAAAACGCTTAAATTAAAGTAAAAATTTGGCAGAAGAGCTGCCTAAATTCATACATTTTTAGGCAGGAGCTGCCCAAAAAACGCTTAAATTTGGGCAAAAAATGGCAGCAGCTGCCAATCGATGTCAGCCTCTTTGAGAGCTCGACAGTGGACAGGGTGAAAGTGTACGAGGCCCAGTTGAAGGAGGACTCCTTGGCTTATACAGCCCGGTGGGCTTTTGCAGACGATGAAGCATCGGACGGGGAGAACTAGTTATTTCGGGTGAAGTTTAAGCTGTATATGTTCAAATCTAGTGAGTGGAATTCTTGCTTTAGGGTTTAAGTTTGAGGCATGGCCCACTCCGAGCCAAATGGGACGAACGAAGACGAGGCTACTTCCGGTCTGCAGAAGAATTTTATGGAGTCGGAGTGTGCTCGCACCAGGTCCTTCATCTAGATGTGCGACCAGTGCATCCAGATCAGCGCGATGAAGGCGGTGACTCTAAGCCTCAAGCCCAAAATAAGCTGCGCCAGGAGCATGCCTTGGTGGCTCGCATCTTCGGGCCAGGCGACTTGCAGAAGGGCGGAGGCCTGACCTGTCCCCAGGGTGACCTCTCCAAGGCCGCGGTGAGGGCCTTTTGGGGGGGACATGGAGGAGATGGTCAGCTTCTGCTGGAGGCGGATGACGGCCGGGGAAGAATGCAACCTGAAGTATGGACATTCCTCGGCAAAACCTGGCAGATTTATGGCGGTGCGTCAAGGGGGGGCTCCAGAGACATCAAGTGCCTGGGATGCCGCCTGCACCTCTTGCGGTACGACCCCCCGACCAAGATATCAGGACCGCCGTCATGTTGCTTTTGCAGTGATGGGAGCACGATTTTGAGTGCGCAGTGCCAGGCTGCTATACAAGGGCATCGAGCTTCGTGGGGATTTTTCGCTAGACAGCCTGTCGGCTGCTCAGATAAAGGCCTGAGTTGTCTCCGCACCCAGTGCCAGTCGCACGCCAAGGGCGTCGGATTCCGACTGAGTAGCGACGGGTACATGCTGCAAGCGATGCGAGGGCCCGATTCGGGACGATTCAGCATGGAGAGACCCAGGGATCACGGGAAATAAACATAGCAGACTGACAAAGAGATAGGAGGAGAGAGAACGAAGCAGACTAAGCCCAAAAGATGAAGCACCCACGGACAGAATAGGACCCCCGTGGGTGGGGAACAGCTCCAGCACCTGTCGAACGAGAGGTCAAATGGATAGAGCCATATGCGCGCCTGGAGCCAAGCCCCTTAAAGCTCTGAGCGTCAGGGAAAGGAAGGCGCTCATAAGTGAATCTCGGAGTTGTCGCAGGGTTGGACTCGACCCAACAATGAGAGCGATTGAACAGACAGATGCTTAGCGTATAAGGTATACGTAGCCGTTGAGAGCGAGCACTTGGAACCTGAGCAACATGACAGCTGCTGTGAGTCGCAAAGTGCAAACAAGGATCAGCAATGCGACTCACTGGACACTCCTCCAGACAAGAAAGAACGCCACATGAAAGACAGAAAGCCACATGAAACGAAGCAGCGAGCCTTAGAAGCTGCTGCAACAGGAATCAGCTAAAGCCTGCAAGCCGTCGAGCAGGAAAACATCATCAAGAAGTACTCCGGACGATGTTTGCAACGAAGCCGCAGCAAAAGTCTTCCACGAACCCATGGCGGAGTTGCCGCGCTTGCTGACCTCGTACTCGAAGGCCTTGGGCCGGTCTGATTATTTTTCTGTCTGCTGCGAGCAGCATCCATGGAGCACGGAAACAGCACTACACCCCCAAAAAGGCCGCCTGCACGAAACGTTCGCCCGACCTCCCAGAACGCAGATTTCTGAGAGCGCGAGACCCCAGCGTCGACTCGCCGGCGAGAGGAGGAAAACGCCGCGATGCCGACTTGACGCGAAACCCTAAACTCCATGGATTTTGATCCTGAACTCCTAAATCATTTAAACCCTGAGCCCAAAGCCCTAATCGATCTCTATGCCCTTAAACCCTAAACCCTAATGCAGGGTCAACACCAGGTCTCAAAGCTGAAGTCTTTCTTGTCTCGGCAAGTACCCTGAAGCTGTAGTCCAAATCATGTAGGCTCACATGTGGAGCGCGCATGGGGAGTGAG